CGGACGCCGTCTGCTTCGCCGCCGCCGTCAGCGCCTGCGAGAAGGGACAGCGGTGGCAGCATGCACTTTGTTTGTTTTCTGAAATGAAAGCTTCCCGGGTTGAACCCGCTGTCATGGCCTGCAACGCACTAATCAGCGCTTTGGAGAAGTGTAGCTGCTGGCAGCGTGCACTATCTTCGCTCATTTCGGTCGGAATTAAAGCAGACATCGTCACCTTCAATGCCGTGGCTTCATCTGAAGTTATGTAAGGCACGTGCTCGCGTGTTCGAGCCGCTCTGAGCTCTGCAACTCTGAGGCCCTGGGCGCCTGCGCCAAAGCTCAGGCTTGGCCCTTTGCCTTGGAGCTTTTCGGCAACATGTTGGCTTCAAAACTACAGCCCGACGCCGTGAGCCGGGCGCTGAGAGATTTTTGTCGTCTGGTTCCGGTCACGATGTCCTCCAGCAACGGCCGAGGCTACAACGTTGTGATCGGGGCATGCGAGAGATCCAGCCAGTGGGAAGCAGCAGCTTGGATGCTCAACTTTCCGCAGGGTCCAAGGGTTCACTCCGGACGCATCTTCTCAGGTGTTGGCCCTTCTGCGTGAACAGTCGAGCACCTTCGGCAAGCTGGTGGCGGACCTGTGCTTCCAGTCTGCACATACCACTGCCGTCGCTGACAGTTAAACAGATTGAGGTGAAAAGACACTTGTTCTGCAAGGCACCCCGAGCTCCGGCACTCTTATCACCCGTCTGTTGGATTTGGAGTCCAAGAGCAACAGCGACCTCTGTCACCTCGTCTGGCGCTTTGCGAAGCTCGCCCAAGCAGCGCGCTTTGATGTCGACATTCATTGTATCACGAGGGCAGCTACGACAGTGCTGGCAGTGGCCGTGCATCGCGATCTGCACTTGTCAGAGATCAGTACATACCTGCGCCTTAGCTTGGCTTCATGGGGGGTCATGGCCTCAGCAATCGTAGCGCAGCTTGCCAAGCGCCGCAGGTGGTCTTTAGCAGTGCTCGGCGTGGACGGCCCAGGGGTCCGAAGGTTGTTTTTGCAGCTGAGAAAGAGGCTCGTCCGTATGCACCATCATCTCATGGGCCCTCCGAGTTGTAGCCTGGAGCAGGCTTGCTGCGGGTCAAGAAAAGTTATTGCCCCTGAGCTTGCTGGCCAACATCATCTGGGCGGTGGCAATGATGAAGGACTTGGAGCTTCTTGTCCTGCAGAAGGAGATGGTTGCACGGTCCAAGATGGACTTTTGGCAGACCCTAGATTTTGCCTCTGCTGCATTGGAAGTCTTGTGGGCATCTGCGTTTGTCCAGCGGCTGCCTGTTCAAGTCGAAAGCAGCCTAAGCGAGTCCGTAAGAAGAATAGCTGGCGAACTTGACCGGCGGCCATCGCCAGCCCTCGCCTCTCCTGCGACTTCTTCCGGCTCTCAGAGAGACAGAGAGTCGGAGTCTCCTCGCATTCTGCGACGCTACTCCGACCGAGTGGTCGTGTACAAACCGCCGGGCTGGCAGGCCAGGGGCCAGGGGCCAGGGGCCCCGTCCCTTCCCCGTCCCTTCCCCGTCCCTTCGGAAATGTCTGTCCCTTCCCATTCGGAGGTGGATGATGCTTTGGCAGAGAGGCGTTTGAGACTCTCCTCTTGGCTACACACGGCCTTTGCAGGGCAACAGAATCTTTTGGAGGACCTTCAGCATCGGCGAGGCTTCATCCATCGCCTCGACGTCCCGACATCTGGGCTTCTTCTTGTGGCAACAAGCTATGCTGCATATTACGACATGCAGCTCCAGCTTATGGCTCGAAGGATGACGAGACAGTACCTCGTGCTCTGCCACGGCTGGCTTGGAATGCTTGGAGCGCGAAGAAAGATCGAGGCCCCGATCCACTCCCTCGAGGCGGGACGGGAGAGCCACCAAAAAAAAAATCGAAAAAGACGATCCTGCAGCTTGTCTTTTCGAGGACGGACCCAGCTGGTATCGGTCCAGCCGGATTTCCAGCGTCGGCGGACGGCCGTCCGCGACCCTTCTCGAACCGATCGCCTATGCAACGATGGATGAGAAAGCTTTCACCCTGACAGAATTTCAGATTGTTACAGGCAGAAGACACCAGATTCGAGTCCACACGGCCCATTGCGGATACCCAACGATGAGTGACGCCAGATACACCGCAGAAGCAACCTTCAAGGACGGGGCTTTTCCTGCAGATGTGCGCGGCTGCTTAGCTGTGTGCAGACATGCCTAAATAAACCTGGGCTGCAAGGACGACTCGTCTCGATGCCCCCGAAACTTTCTGCATCGATACCGCTTGAAGTTTGAGGTGGCAGACAAGGCAACACAGACGAGGTACCAAGAGGTGGGGCTTTTGTTGCTTCCTGGTTTCTCGACAAGAGTACGCATCCATGCCAGGTTGAGGAGCAACTCCCGCAGGACCTTGTGAACATCCTGGACTTGCTTGTGCCAGTTTCTGCGGCTTCTGCTCAAGGGATCCGAAGATCCAGTCCATAGGAACGCTGTCTGCCGTGATGTGCCACATGCCCATGCAAGCAGAGGCATGCAACGAAGCACTCGGTCTGCTTAGCTTGCCTGCAGAATTTGTTGCTGCAGAACCACCCACGTGCACGACTGTAAACTAACATCCATCTTTGATGTAGAGCTGTGGATGATTTCGGCCCTTTTCTGCCAGATGATTTCTGCCGCCTCCTGCTCCTGCACATCTATGCTCGATGTGTGTGAATCGGCAATCGGCTTGAAAAGCCGCGCTCGCAATGTGATTCGTAGACGCCGTTACCAGAGGTCAAGCATATTGCAGAGACCATCTCGGCCTCAGCGACATGACATGACAGTCGATAGTGCGAAGTACGACATAGCCCTGCACTGAGTTCGACAGTCTGGCCCTTCAGGCCCCTGAAGCACTGGCCGATAGCTAACTCGCTGATTCCTCGCCGAGGCCTTTTGCGGCTAGAGCTGTAATCCAGGCCTCTAGAATACTGATGAAGCAACGTCCCTGCAAGACTTTTCGCGCATGTCTTCCTTTCTTTCCAGCTCCATGGCGCTCGGCAATTCATGGGGCGCCAGGCACCACATTGACGGAGAGTTCTGGCAGCTGAAGCACCGTTGGGGCGCTCGGAAACTTGTGCTAGTGAAGAACTCATCGACACATGTCACATGTTATACTTTGTGGGTCAGTAGACATCTTCCGGCAAGCTTTGTGGCGGCTAGGAGAGGCAAGCTATGCCGGGGATACCCTCAAAAGCATTCAAGCGTGAAGCGTCCGGAGGTCAATGTCATTCGCTGCAACGCGCGCATCTCGTCGCTCCGGGGCAGACGCTGGAGAGAGGGCTTGGAGCTCTGGGCCTCCTTGCCGCAGCAAAGGCTTCGGCCAGACACCTGGAGCCTCAACGCTGCCCTTAGCTGCGCCGCCTCCTCCGGGAGCAGATCCCGGAGCGGCTCCGGCTGGGCGGTGGTCTTGGCACTGCTGTCGGTGGGCATCTCCATCGATACCGTCAGCTTCAATCTCCTCCTCACCAGCCTTGCAGATGCCCAGGCATGGACAGCATCGATGGCGGTGTTGGCCTTGCTGCCCTCGGCGGTGCTGCGTCCGCAGGCAGCGAGCCTGGGACCTTGCATCAGCGCCAGCTCACGAGCAACGCGATGGCAGCAGGCAGCTCAAGTCCTTCGTGTCTTTCGCTTTTCCAGCTTGGTGGACCTGGGTGCACGCAACGCAGCCTTGGCCGGGTGTGCTGGAGCAGGGCGATGGCAGCAGGCCTTCTGCGAGTTGGAAGCTCTCCTCAGCAGTGCTCTGCAGCCTGATGCTGTGACGTTCAATTCTTGCTTCAGTGCCTGTGAGACTGCTCGTGTCGGGCAACGAGCCTTGCAGCTAATGCAGCGCATGGGCATCATCAGCATCCGACCAACTGCCATCAGCATTAACACAATAGTCAGTGCCTGCATGAAGGTGAGTGAGTGGGAGACCGCACTCGGACTGCTGGCTGAGCTGCCAGAGATGGGTCTCCTGCCAGACATCATTAGCTATAACGCTGCAATCGGCGCGTGCTCCGAGAACTGGCAGCAGGCCATCGCACTCTTCCAGAATCTGCTTTCAACGCGACTGTGTCCCGACCAGGTGACGCTGGGTGCTGTAATAGCAGCATGTGCGAATGCCTTGCAGCTTCCTACGATCGAGACACTCTTGGAACACATGCGGCAACTGTGCTTGGAGGAGAATCTGGTAATCTGCAACAGCTGCCTCAAGGCTTGCGACAAGGCAGAGGCATGGCAATCCTCTCTCATCTTCCTCGAACGAATGACTTGTCTTGCTATCCAGAAAGATGTGCTCAGCTACGGCTCGGCGATGCGGGCGTGTCAGAAAGCTTTGCACTGGCAATTGGCGTGCCACCTCTTCAGTCAAAGTGGTTCGAGCAACATCGTGCCCGATGCTTTCAGCTATGAAACAGCGACCACTGCCTATGCTGCAGCCAGTAGGGCTTTGCAGACCGTAGCCTTGCTCTGGGGCCTCTCCAGTGTCGTCCGACTGCAAAGCCTCGGCGAGAGGTCGCAGACGAGGCAAAGAACGCCTTAAAGGTTTTCCGACTCCGATCACGGGCTAAATGATTGCCTTCGTATGAGCCTTCCTCCGTTGTGGCATGCAGCCCTTCCAAAGACTCTCGGAATCCTAACGGTCTGTGTAGCGGGCTCTCTTGCAGTTTCTCGAGCCTTCAGGTTCGGGGTAGCGCGTTGAATACTCTTTCTGGAGATGAACGTTTCCTCTCGCATCAGGCTAGAGTGTTTGTGTTTTTCTTACCAGGCGGCCTTGTCTTGCATCGTCTCTAACACGAGTACGGACGATTACGGACACAGGCACTCTGGCAACCGAGCGTCTTTTTCGCCTTCTCATGAAGATCGTTTGCAAGTCAATGCCTCTGCATGTATCAGGCTCGAGGTCGCAGAACGGGAGCCATTTTTGACGAGACTCTCGGCCTCGGCGTTCCCGCGTAAGCTCGGGCGCACGAAGGCTCTGTCACAGCAGCACGACGTGGTCGGAACAAAGCCTCTCAACACAGGCCGAAGTCCTTCTTGCGCGACGTGGCTGCTCGCTGACTGTGTGTTGGCAGGAGCTTCCTCTGAGAAATGCAGTGTCTTCTCGGCTGTACACGCCTCGCCTGGCGACATCCGTGCTCACGGGCCTCGCGCAAAGAAAGCAAGCGAAGGCGGCTTGATGCGCCATATCTCTTGCCGGGTCCTCCCACCCTTTCTGAATGAATCAGGCTGCCGGACAGATCTTGCGCTGGATGTTCCTTGTCTGCCGTGGTTGCTGTAGCTGCAGCTGTTTTGTGGAAGACGCGCCGCTGAGGCAAGACGAGGAGCTCGAGGTCAATGTGTTTCACACCTCCGCTGTTCTGTCTGCTTGTTCGAGAAGCAAGCAGTGGCAGCTGGCCCTGGACTTGCTGGAATGCCAGCATGTCAACGAAGTCGGACTCTCTGCATCACTTGGCGGCATCTGCAGAATGCGCAACTGCGCATCAATCTTTCATGTGTCCCAAGGATTCAACGCCTTTCTTGACTCCTGCGAAAAGGCTGGGCACATGGACCTAGCCTTCAAGATGTTTTCGACGATGTCAGAGCGGTCCCTGCAGCCAGATGTCATAAGCTGCAACACGGCCCTGCGCGCAGCGAGCTCCTCCCAACACTGGCAGCTGGGACTCGCCTTCCTCGATGGAGCTGAGGTCGACGTGATCAGTTACACATCATGTATGAACTGTTGCCAGGGGGACTTGTGGCAGATTGCACTGGCTTTTTGGGATCTGATCCAAATCGCACACTTCGAGCCCAGCTCCAGGGCTTTCAATTCGGCCATCCATGCAGTTCGTGCAGAGTGGACAGTGGCTCACCAGATTTTCCAAGAAATGCTGGCATCGGGGACGTCGGCGGATCAGTACACCTTGAGCTCTTTAGTTCACACATCTTGGGAACTGTCTTTCAGCATCAGAAGCATTGGACTCGCCCGGATCGACAGGGCCGCATGCAACGCACTTCTGGACAGCGGGCCTTGGACTGTAGGCTTGGCGATTTTGCAGGAGATGCAGCTAGACAGGATTTATGTGGGGTGTGTCGGCTACACAGCCTTGGGACGAGCAATTGGATCTCTTCGCTGGAGCCAGGGGGAAGCCCTCTTGTCGCAGATGCGCCGAATGGAGGCGCGACCGCTTTGATTGAGGACTGAAAGAATTGATTGGCTTCGGTAAAATTCTTAGGTGCAGGCGGACAGCTTCTCCACAAACTTGGCGATTGGTCTTTCCGAAGAGGGTGACTGGCAATCCGCTTGCTCGGCATTGCGGGATGTGCCGGGAACTTCTCTGGTCCGCGACTGACCTGCTACTCTCATTGTTCCGCCATGCGCTCCGCTTGAGCCGCTCCAAGGCGCCAGACGAAATTGGCCGCTCGACCCGGTCAGTTGCTGTCGAAGCGGTTCCCCTTGCACAGCACTGCGCGAAGGTGTCAGCACGGCTCTCAGCACATGCGAGCAGTCGTCACAGTGGCGCTGGGCAGCACGGCTCTTCTCGCACACGGAAGCTGTGCAGAAGGCAGCAGGTCATGACTTGATCGCCATTCATGTCACCTCTCGCCAGATTGGCTCCAGAGTGGTTGCCAACAATGCGGCCCTCGGTGCTTTCGCAAAGAGCCTTCAGTGGGGCTGGGCAATGTGTCTTCTACACCAGATGCTTGAAGGCTGCACGATGGTTTGTGGAGTTTCGCAAACGGCATGATGTGCTGGTGGTGCAGGCACTACGCAGCCCGATGTGGTGTCACTCTCGACCTCCATCAGCGCCTGTGCTGCTTGGCAAACGCAAGAGCTAGAGCTGCCTTTAGCATCTCGCCCCAACATGGGCGTCATTCAAAGCATCATGTTTGCGTGCTGTACTGCACTGGTTCGGGTTCGAGGAGAAAATTGGCTACTGGAGAGTGGCCCTCTTCATCTTCACGGCTTTCAGAAGCGCGCAGCTCAAGGACAGAATCGCTTGAAACTTCAGTCTGTTCGCACTGGCCTCTACCGCGAGGACCCCGGTGCTGTCTTCGGCTTCTTGGAGCTGAGAACCACGGAATGGCACTGGCAGAACCATGAATCGATTAAATGACCAAGGCTGCAGCGCTGCGATCAATGCCTGCGAGAAGGGTCGGCAGTGGCCTCACCCTCACCCCGACCCTCATTCCTGCCTTCACTCTGATGCTCACTCTCTTTCATCCTCACTCTCACCCCCTCTCACGCTCATCCTTACACTGAGGCAGTGGCGGATTGCTTTGTCTACACTGAGCCGTTCGCGGCGCAATCGGGTGAGCTGACTGCAAGATACCAACACAGGGTCTTGGGATCTCTTGGGTTGTTGAACATGCGGGGATGCATGGTGCACTGGCCAGGTGCAGCTCAGCGAGATATCTTTCTCTGCTGCCATCAGCGCATGTGAAAAAGGCCACGAGTGGAGGCACCCTTCGAAGTTGCGGAAGCCGCCGGCTTCGACTTGGCTGAAGCGGAGGTTCTCCCTGCTGCTGCTCGATGCCCTCGCACCAGCGAGCCTCCAAATGGGCGGCGTTAGTTTCGATGCGGCCATTAGCGCCTGCCAGAAAGGCCACGGGCCCACGGCACGGAGCGGTTTAGGTGTGCCCTGCAAGCCTGCAGGCGAAGCTGCATCGCACGGAACAAGTGGGCACAGTCTGGGTGCTGCTCTCACAGCCTGTGAGAGAAGTGGGAATTGGGATGTGGCTTTGGATGCCTGGCAGAGGCCATTTTGCCAGACTGCATCTTCAGCGACACGTTCACAAAATGAAGCTACTAGCAGCATGCTCGAGGGCTCCTGTGCATACACAATCTGAGGGTCATTGTCTTGTGCATACACAATCTGGGGGTCATTCTCTTGCATTCAAGCTTTGCGCTGTTGCAGGATGCAGAGCCAATGCTTGTCATGGGATGAGACAAGCATCAGTGCAATTGTCAATTCGTGTCGCAATGGTGGTCGCTGGCAGCTGGCGTTGCAGATCACCAGCTCAGGTGGCCTCCTGACAACTGCGCGACGGACCGGGAAAATTGAACAAGATCCTGCAGACTTTCCTGCTACCCCTGCAGGTTGTATGCCCTCGCACTTGCGATCAGCGGGTGTGGGCGCCTGCGAAGCATCGGATGTGCCGGCAGAGGGTCTTGGTGTCGGCGTCATGCTGAAAATGAATTGTTTGCGCCCGCTCGTGGTTCTCATACACAGTGCAGTGCGAGCAATCAAAGCTCCCTCCATAGGACTGAGGCCCAGCGTGCTGTAGGGCTTGGACCTCCACGAAGCTCATGGTGGGTTTTCGCCACAAGCGCGAAAATGAGTGCTCGTTCTGATGCTCATGACGTGACGCTTTTGGGGTGGCTCACTTGTGCCTTCCTGCCGAACAAAGGCAGAATAAACACAGCATCAAGCGTGTTTGCACTGAACCTTCAATTAGGATCAGCAGTCGGCCTACATGTCTGCTCTGCACCCTTTCTGGAGCTTTCATCCCCGTTTTGGGACCTGCAACCTGCCCCATGCCGTCTACGAAATGCCACAGCTTTTCTCAGCCATGCGAAGCCGAAGCCGCCAGCTACCTTCGAGCCACTTGACGAAGACACGCAAGAGTCGCACCAGCAAAACCAGAACAACAGACGAGTTGGCATGTGCCAGTAAGGTGCAGATCTTACACCACTTCTCAGGGTGAAGGAGACGCTTGGACGGGCGCCTGGCATCGAGGAGGCCGTGCAAGAATGGAGGAGGACCGGCCCCTAATTAGTGGCTCAGCCTGAGGCTGCCAGAGATCGCAGTGAACAGGAGTCCCTGGCTGGGAACGGGATTCCTTGGGGACGTTGCAAAGAAGGAGGGGCCGGAGGCGGGATAGGTTCTCGGAAAGCTGTAGTGAAGCTGGTGAAGTTCTGAAGCTGAGGCCGCCGTGGGAGTCTTGGAGTATCTGTCTTCACGAGATGTGGAGGTCAACACGTTTCATTACAACTCTGTCATCTCGGCGAGCGGGAGGGACTGGGAGTTGGCGCTGCAGCTACTGGAGCAGATGAAAGACGGGACGGTGTCGCCAAGTGAAGTCACCTACGGTGCCGCCATCAAGGCCTGCAGCAAAGGCAGACACTGGCAGCATGCGCTCGGATTATTGTTTGCAATGGGGCTCGAACCCAATGTGGTCGTGTATACTGCTGCGATCAGCTCATTAGAGACGAGAGCACAATGGGAAATTGCCGTTGCACTGCTTGAGCTCATGTCCACGCAGTCCCTCCGTGCGGATGTGACCTGCCTCAGCGCAGCCATGCGGACTGCCAAGAAGAACTGGGAGATTTCTCTGCAGCTGTTCGAGAGCATCGTTGACAAGGAACTGGCACCGGACCTTATCAGTTTCAACACCCTGATCAGCTCGTGCGAAGAGCAGGGCCTTTGGAAGGAGTCATTGCAGATCCTGAACTCTGCGTCTAAATTCACTTTGCATCCGAACGCGGTGAGCTATAATGCTGCAGTGGCCGTTCAACGATCTGTGGCGGCCTCAGCACGCCCAAAGAGGGTCAAAGACGGCCGAGAGCGCCACATCTAGTTTTACTTTGCAAACAACACCGGTCTTCCACAACGGCCTAGTGCCTAAGGAATATCTCTATTGGACATGGCCGCTGCTGGCTGCTAGCCACCGCCAGTGTAGTCATTTCATCGCATCGGTGACACAAGCAGTCGTCGTGTAACGGCAGCGTGAGGCTGAGGGGACATCTAGAGAGATGCTCAACACATACGTAATTAATTTGAGGGTTGGAACAAAGTCACAGCAATTTCGGCACACTTGGTCCAAATCTTGTCTGAACGAACCTGGTGACCGACGTGCGGGCTTCACCGGGCGCTGGTTATACACTGACATCAACCCCTGAATAGATAAGCGTACCGTATCCAGAGGAATCTCACCTGTTCATAGCCCAAGAGACCTTCCCTGTGGTCGAGGCAGGAGAGTGGGAGGTAGCGCTCAGTCTGCTGGACGAGATGCGATCAAGTGGCCCTTTGCCGGGTCTCATCACTTACAACGCCTGCATCAGCTCTTGCCAAATGAGCGCTGTGTGGGAAGTGGCCCTGCGCCTTTTCGAGGAAGCCAACCGTGTCGGGCTGCAGGCTGACGTCATTAGCTTCACTGCCGTGATCAGCGTGTTTGGGCAGGTCCGCCAGACTTGGCAGCGCTCACTACAACTCCTGCAGGACATGGATGGATTTTCTGTTGTGCCAAACGCCCTCACATATGGCGCATGCATCGCCGCAGTAGCACGGGCTGAGCAGTGGCAGACAGCCTTAGCATTGCTGGTCAAGGCTTGTCGCCAGAAAGCGGCCCTAGTAGCAACCTTCAATGCAGCCTTGAGTGCCACGGAAAAGGGGGAACAATGGCAGAAGGTCTTGCAGCTCCTCGAGTGGATGGATGCCCTGTCAGTGATACCGGATGACATCAGCTGGAACTCTTGCATCAGTGCCTGCGAGAAGTGTGGACAATGGCAGACAGCTCTGACAATGCTTGACACCATGACGCACAGAAATCACCATCCCGACGAGATCACGTTCAACGCAGCGATCAGTGCTTGCGAGAAAGGTGCGGCTCCGCCTTGCTAGTTTAAGCGGCTCTCTAACTGCACCTCTAACCGCTGCTAGCCTTACTTAATCTCGCACAGATAGGACGGAGTAGCACGTGGCACTGCATCTGCAAAGCACTGCGTGCGCGCGTAAACGCAAAGACTCTCCTCGTTGGACTTGTCAGGGCTGGGTGTCCTTCTCCGGCTGATAAGTTATGGATCCCACTTCGCCAGATAGAGCCTGAAAGTTCAGTTCAGTATTCCTGCGTTCTTAAAGTACCAGTGAGGGACTTCTTCTTCTCCCTGGCCCTGATGGTCCCAGAGTCTGATCCCCAAAAGGTGGTCAGTGGGAGATGGCAATGGTGCTGCTGAGTGCTATGCCAGATGCACGGCTTCCAAAAGCATTGTTGTCGCAGGTTCGGGCTACATCGAACGTATCGAAGAATTAAGATGTCTTTTGCTGTTGTTCGGGACGAGGAAAATCGAGTTGCCCCTGGGGCCGTCAGCATCAATGCCGCCATGGGTGCTTGTGGGGCGCGATGGCAGATGGCATTGCTTCTACTCTTCGGCATGCCGTCCTTCAAGGCCCACAGCTGACCCAAACGCGTCGCTGCATAAACTCTACAAGCCAAACGAGGCTCAGGCATCTGTGGTCAGCTTCAGCACGGCGATGAGCGCCTGCGAGCGTGCAGGTCGAGCCGCTGCAGCTGCCATGCATGCCTTTGCGATTCTTCTTTTTTTGTGGCATGTCTCGCTAACGTCCGCTAAGGCGAATGGGAGCTGGTGTTGAGCCTGCTGAGCTCCCAGCCTGCCATGGCCATGGATCCGGTCTGCGTGAGTACAGCGATTACGGCCTGTGGCAAGGCCAATCAATGGCCTCTAGGCCTCTTTCTTCTAAGGTCAATCGCAACTTGCCCAAGAACCGAAGAACCATCATGAACCATCATGAGTCAACGCGCTTGCTCTCGAAGCGATTGCGCTTTCTAGCAGAGGCAGAACCTGACAGCGTCTGCATCTTGGCGGCACGAGCCGAGAGAGAGAGAAACTCGAAAAAGCGCAGCGGCCTGAATCAGACTGCGACTGCCGTGACTGCAGAGAGCAGAGCCGAAGGCTTCAATGCGGCCATCAGCGCCTGCGCAGCCGATCCTTACCAGTGGCACTTGACCTTGGACCTCTTGCAGAGCACCTTGCCTTCAAGTCCACGTCCGTGAACTCGCGGCCTTAGCAGCCTTAGCCTCAGAATGCTAGGTATGAAGGAGCGAGGAATGCCTCTCAGCGAGATTACGTTCAGCGCCACTCAGCGAAGCAATCAAATGGCTGCGAGTGTGTTTCAAGTTCTTGTTATGCAGCATTATAGCAGACTGTATCGTTATGTCCAGAGCCCTCATCCCAGGCCATCATCAGTGGCTTGACACACTGGGCCCTCGCCGTTCAAATATTGGAGGAGATGCTACAACAGAAGGCAGCCTGCGGCAGCCTGAAGTCCGGCTTGATTGCAGGAAGTTTCTGTGTTCTTTGTGTTTCGCAGATCTTTGCGAACGACATCACTTACAGCTGCGTGATCAACGTGTGCACCAAGGTGCCGCAGGGCAGGGGAGTTAGCAGACAGCTGCGTGTTTCGAAGTTTGGAGGCGACTCAATGGGCTCCAGCTCTCGAGTTGCTTCGGTTCTTTTCCACCCAGAGTCCAGGCCGAAAAGGCAAAGCATGGCAAAGCGGAACGTCCCCTTTTTTTGGTTTTGCCTGGCTCTCCGTTGTTGGCTGTGGGCTGCTTCCCCCATTGCGTTGGCCCAAATAAGGACCACGCCTAATCTCATCGCGTACACTGGTGCCATATGTGCATGTGACCCCTGGTTGCGATGGGTTGGGCTTGTCTCATACATGCTGCGGGGTCTCGGGGTATTTCGGAGTGCAGGCAACATAGAGGTAGGAGTGATTCGCCCAGCATTCGAAGCATCGGAATCAGAGAGGGAACGCGGCCTTCGCCACGTCAGGAGGAGAGTTGCCAGTGGCGGGCGACATTGGACATTTTGCAGCAGATGTCTGAAAGACGCATCGCTCCGAATTTGCCGAGTGCCACAGCTGCAAGAATCCTAACGGCCCTAAAGTGTTTTGTCCAGTCGGCGAGCTGCTCTTCTTTGCAGCTGGAGGCCTTAGCATGACGACTGAAGCACTCTGGAAGAGCAGCCAGATGCAGATGGCCGGGCAACTTGCAGGCTATGGCTGTCCATGCCTGGACGTTGTCTTGCCTCGTCTCCATGTTTTTGTTGATTCTTGCAAGGCCGAATCTCGCAGGAGACACTGCTCTTCTTCATGTCCTTGAGAAGAATTGTCGATGACGAAGCTGCCGCACAAAGGGCCACATCTTCGAGTGGGGGATGAGCCCCAGCAACAAGACCATGTACGTTCTGGGTATCATTGACGATGTCGAACTCTGGTGAGACTTCTCAGAGCTCTGTATCAAGGAGGCGGATCGATCGCAGATTCCAAGGTAGGATGCCCTCAAGATTCTGCAGTGGGGCCGTGCAGAAGCGATGGTGGATTGGACAAGGAGGAGTTGAGGGTTTCCTCAAATCCTACGTGAGGCCAACGGAGCAGAAGGGGCTTTGTGGAAGCAGAGCGCTGCATCCTTCAAGCTGGAGAGTGGCCGCTGTGGGTAAGATTTTTCGCACCGCCAGGACTGGTGCAGGCATTAGCAGACGAAGAATATAACGAAGGCAAAAGAAGCGGTCTTTACAGATCAAGTCTGCTGACCCAGCTCCACCGAAGACTCTATCAATGAAAGGCTGCACGTCTCTGCAGGCTTGGCTCCATGGTAGTGTCGCAATCACACGGTGCGGGCCCCTTTAGAAGGAAGACTGCGCACCTGGCAATGGCTGAGAGACCGCATGGATGCGGTCTCCCTCGCAGGTGCAGCTTAGTTTCTGCCAAGCGTGTCTGCCGAAGCACGCAGTGCAGTCAGCGTAGTCTGCGAGCGCAAGTGGCCCTGCGATGCCTGCGCCAGGCGAAACAGCGGAGCGAGCGGAGGCGCTTGGCCAGGCCCGGAGCCGGAGCCCAGCCCGGGGTCGCGAGGGCTGCGCTGCGATTCGCTGCGTTGTCTGGCCGCGCAGGAGCCCTCGCCCCGGCGAGCGGCGACGGCTACGGCCTTCCTTGCCACTATTCAGGATGGAGAGGCACTCGAAGTTAGCCCGGGCAAGGGAGGCTTTCGAAGAGGCACAGCAGAGGGAATCAAAGATTCGAGCCGCCGAGTGCGTGCTTCTTCCACGGTCTGCAGACGCCAGCCTTGGCAATGCGGCCAGTCTTGGCGCTTTCTGCAAGCTTGACTAAAGGTTGCCCCATGAAGCCTGCGCAGGTCGCGCTTGGCACGTTCCGATGTTTGCTGGAAGGCGGGATGATCAATTACAGGTGGCACCGGTACAGTCTTTGCTCGGGTGCAGGGAGGCTCGAAGCCAACGCTTTTCACTACAACTCCGTGATCTCTGCCTGTGCGCCGCATGGCAGCAGCAAGCCCTGGCTGCCGCCATGGCACGGACATGGAGAGTCTGAAAGCTGAGGAAATCTGAGCGATGGCAGCTGGGAGCGGAGATCTTTCGAGAGGCGCAAAGCAAGGCGCAAGGGCGGGGACAGCCAACAGTTCCAGACAGGAGCTGCATGGAGAAAGTGACTCTTTCGCTAAGCCAAGAGGTTGCGTTGACTTCCTCGAGCTACGGCGTGGCGGTCGCTTTGTGCACTTCGTCTTCGTCTTCTCTCTGGCCGACTGTGCTTCACTTGATGCGTGCCGTGGCAAACAAGGGTACTCGAAAGGGATAGGGTTCCTGCGAAGTGCTTGCCGATACGTTCAATTACAGGTGGGCTGCGAGGAGTCAGTCTACAATTAGATCAAATCTGCCCCTCAGCTTTGTTGAATTGGATATGGGCAGATGGGATATGAGCCAATGGCACAATCGGGGTGCCACAAAGTTCGCTCTGCAGGCTTGAATGCTGCGATGCATGCTTGCACGGAAGCCGGGCAATGGCGATCGTCCTTGCAGTTACTGAAGATCCGTGGAAGCATCTAGGTCGGCCATTTTTGGCTGAAAGGCTGAATTGTTGGCCTTAACTTTCGGGGTGCATCCTCGGCAACTGCAAGCTAAGGATTTCCACACCAAACCACATTACCTTCAATTCTGCAGTCAATGTGACTTGTCACAAATCGGGATCATTGAGTCTCTCTTTACGACTCTAAGCTCAGCGCTGTCAAGCATCGGGACGAGCGACGCTGCGAGACGCCATGGTGTTTAAGTTGTTGACTGGACAGGGTTCTTCTTTCATGGTGGCTGCTTCCGGTCGTGTTGCAGGCTTGCAGTTCGGCCCGGAGGTGGGAAGTCGGAGTCCGGTTCTTCAGCAGGCCATGTCAGCAACTGCAGATCGGAGGCTGCATTGCAGCGTGCGCAGGATGATGTTGCTCCGATTGCTGAGCGAGAGAAGCTATGGTGGGCCGGCAAGGAAGAGAAGGCTTCTGTGTGTTGTTGCGGGGTGCTCGCATCTCAATGAGGAGCCTTGGTCGACTTGTGTGGCCGCTCCACTGAGTGGCGCTTGGCTTTGCAGCTGTGCAGGACAGAACATGACAGGACTCATTGAGCTCACGAGAATTCAGTGCAGATTGCTGGCAGGAGCGCTGGTGTCCAGCTTCTTTGCTGCAGAAACATGTGGAACCAGCCGCACCGGGGTCCGTGAGTTTCTGCAATACGAGGCCCAGCCCCATTACTCTGAATGCAGCGACGACGGCCTGCGGAAAGGTGCCCAGATGTGCGCCCTTTCCTCCAGGCCATGTCCCATCTCACAAGGCTGCGCAGTGGTTAGCAGCGCTTCAGCTGTTGCGGGCACCGGTGTCGGCCCAAGAAAGAGGTTGCTCGGCCGTTCCCTTTTCCTGGAGTCCGGTCTTGCCCGAGGACATCATCGGCCACTCAGCATGCCCTCAAAGAGCGGAAAAGCACTTCCTTGTCGCGACTGCTTGGTACATGTGCGTTCACGAGGCTGCAACGCTGCAATGAGTGCGTGTGAGAAGTCGGGTCAGTGGCAGACGGCCCTGCACCTGCGCCCTCAGGCAGGGCCGGCCCGGTGTTGTACGTCTTGCCTCTCCGAAGTTCTCAGGATGGTGATGTGGTAAGCTTCAGTGCAGCCATTAGCCGCTGGACGAACACAGCTTCTGCAATCCAACTGCAGCTGTGCGGTGTAGCCCCAGCAGAGGTGCCGTGGGACAAAGTCACCTTTGGCCAGCAACGGTCGAGTTGCTGGATGGCATGTTGCAGCGGCACCTCAGCAACTTTTCGTCATTGTTTTACCTGCAGTCACACGATGTGCCTGTAGATCTGCTCTAGGCAAGTGAAGCCAAACTCAGCATCTTGGACGGCACACCTGCTGAAAGTTGAAAGCTGCAAGCTGCATGCCAGCGTGACAGCGGGTGCCGTGCCCGCGAGCGTGGATGAGGTGATCTGTACGGCTGCCAGCTCTGCATGCAAAGGGCAGTGGCAGAAGGCCTTCTGGCTGAGGCTCGGGCCCACAACGGGCGAGTGACGGGCCTCGCGACTCGCCTTAAAGAGCAGAGCGGATGCTTCAGGTCTATGACGAAGAGCGGACCGCGGGAGCGTTCGTCGCCTTTATGCGAACTGGCTTGGAGGCAGAGTTGTGGAGAGCTAGTACGCACTTACATGCACTTGCAGCCAATTTTCCGGTGCTTCTCTCTTGACGGTCTCCTGCCTGCCATGCCGGGCTTTCCGAGAACGCAGAAATCGAAGGTGAAGCGATCAGGTCACATGTAACACGAGAAGCAAGTCGCATGAGTCTTAAAGGAAGGAAGGGAGAGATATTTTAGTGTTTTTGCAGATCGCTCTGAGTTGCCTCGAGAGATAGAGGTTCTGGATGACAGGCTTTTGCTGGACGTCTGGTAACCCAAGCCGTTTAGAATCGGATCTCATCGTCTGAGTGCCTGCTGACCGGACGATGCCAAGCTGAATGCCGCCGCGGCATGCTGGGCCGCGCACATACCCCCCCACATGGAACCGGCAACGACTGAAGCGACCAACTCGCTTGTGGCCGTGTCCAGGTTGGCGCAGCCCGGTGCGAGGCCCAGGCCGCGCGGCAAAGAGCAGCAAAGCTAAAACATGACAGAGCGGAGCGGCTGAGTGGCGCGCTGACTCGTTGCATACAGAGCACGTTGGCTCGAGTCGCGGCTCCTCCCAGCGCGCGTGCGAAGAGATGGAGCCTTCTGGTGTAGGTGCTTTCTCTGGTGTCCTGGCGTCGGGATGTCTTGCCATTGGCGGAGTATGGCTCCCTTCAGGCTGCTCCCGCTCAGTGCTTCCCTTAGTTGCCTTAGTTGTCTTGTCGAACACATGAATGTTTGCGACAAGCTTGTGTGGTGCAGTGGTGCATGCTTCGATTGAGGTTGCGATTGTGGCGGTTGCCCTCCTGTGTACCGCTTGGTCGAGTTCCGCTCTGGCAGCTTTCATCCTCTGCTGGGAGCGGGCAGCTTGGATGAGTAGTTTGGCCACCTTTGCGCTTCACTCAGCGCCTTGGCGTTCAAAAGCTTTGTACTTTGCACGCCTCATGCTTCAGGTTCCTCTCGTAAAAACCCTACTGCGCTGAGTGCGAGCAAGGAGCCAGTCAAATCGACCTACCTGGAAGTCTGGTGCTCGCTGGTGTTGCTGATTACGGAGAGATTGTTTCCAGCTGCAGTTCACAACTGGCTGCCGGCCATCCTATTCGCACGACATGGTGGAGGCTGCAAAATGGTTCCTGATATGGTGTCGTCGTTGGTATTGTGGCAATTGGCGGGCGGCCTGTGCCTTGAAGGCGAAGTCGCGTGCATTTCTTCACCAAGCAGATAATCTGACATGACATATGCAGGCCTTGGTGATTGGGGCTTAGGGGTCTATGCAATGTCGCAAATGCGGACGTTGCTCTATGCTGAATTCGGGCGTAGTAATGTCGTAGTAGGTCTCAGTGGCCAGCTGGAGCCCACGAGTGCTGACTGTGACTAGCATGTCTGCAAGTCTGAGTTCGCAGAACATTCCCCACGAAAAATGAGATAGTTGTCATCTATGTCTGACCGGCTTCTAGCCTCGCTGCGGAGGGGAGTTGTCGGTGCCAGGAGTCAGGAGATTTCCCGGCTGGTGGAGCAGGCTGCAGCATGTATTTGTGTGGGTCCCCGGAAGATTCTTATGAAAGGAATCATAACGGTTGCGGAAAATCATTGCCTGAGATCCTGGTGAGATGTAGAGCTTTTCGGCCCTTCGGGGCGAGGCAAGTGGTGTTGTCACAAAATGCATAGCTCTCACTGAGCACTGAGTCCTCTAGCTGCTCCAGCTTTCGGAACCCTGCGGTCTTGAGCGCAGCCTCTGCGGTTGACGGTCTTGCATTCATCAAAAGTGCCGGCAGCAACTCTGCTAGCCAATGCACCGCGGAGCTGGTGTTATCCTGGAAGGGAGTTGTGCAGCTGAGGAAGCCCGAGCCGAGCCCGGAAAGACTTGTAGCCGCATGACGCCCTGCCGGATGCCAGGCGAGGCAGCCTCTCGCGCTGCGGTCTGACGAGCTTTCAGTACTGGTACCTCAGTCGCAGGATGGAGCAGGGCAGGAGCTGCTCGGTGAGTCGTGCTTAAAGCTGAGGTCTGGAGCTTTGCAAGCCTCTCCGTGGACGACGCGGCCGTGACCGATCGCATCCTGAATGCCGTGGAGCAGTTGGGCTTCCGGAACTTCCGGACAAGTGACTTGGCCAGGCCCAGCTTTCTCAGCTTCCCAGCGCCAGCGCAGCCCGGGCGCTGTTAGCGGCAGTGCAGGCTCTCCTGGTCTCTGACTAGCCTTAGAAGGGCGAGCACCATGCTGGAAGATCTCCAGAAGGCATCGGGATAGCTTGGCTTTGAAGCTGTGAGCATGGATTTCCACAGGAACGCAAGCATCAGCATCGGCATCCTTCCTTGCAGGAGTTTTTGCATCGGCTAAGACGTGAAGGTGTTGATGCGGACTCTGCGGTCTCTGCGTTGACACTTCTCTGGTCGCTGTGCCCTGTTTACCACTTCTGGCTTCCATACAAAGTTCTACATGGCAGGAGTGGTTCCTTTGCCGGTGACCTGTATCGTTTGGGTTTTTCATGGCTGATTGCAGCTGTGTGTGCAGCCTTGAGGATGGTTTCCAAAATGGAGAGCCCTGGAGATGGAAGGCAGTGACTCTGACTGCAGCGCTGCGGCGTCCTTTCGGGCTGCCCGAAGCTTCCAGGTTCGCTGGCGCAGTTCGGGAGGTCCTGCGACCAGACTGCCCGGGCTCGCACCCCTGCGGCATCCCTGGCACCGGTGGCTGCGGCTGGACGCATGTCTGCGGAGAGCTGCGGTTTGCAAACTTACATCCTTTGCTCCATCCTCGACGAGGAGAAGGGGCAGGAAGGAAAGAGCCTCATCTGGTGCTTTCCCTGGCTGACCTCGCTGTGGTGCAGAAGCCTCCGGAGTGGCAGGCGGGACATGAAAGGGTCAGGCTCTTTCAGACTCTGTCAGACCGCCAGGTGGATGACGGGGAGGATTCTGAACCAAACGAGCATCAGACTCTTGGCTTCAGCATTGCTGAACCTCGGGTTGCATAAGAGTCGGCTTAGGGACCCTGCCGGAAGCTCCGTCAGCTTTCACACGTTTCAAGTCCTCAGGAGGGGTCTACTCTCAGCCTATCTGCAGGCCGGCACCCTTTCAGTGGGGACCTCGAACTCTCTCCTTGGAAGGCATTGTTTCCAAGATGCCGCAAGCTCTTCACGAGCCTCGGGCGCAGCCGTGGCCCTTGAACAAGGAGCAGGCGAGTGTCCGGTTTTCGTGGGCTCTCAGGCCGGGGTTTCCTGCACCGCCTGGACGTCCCAAGCTCCGGCTTGTCCCCAGCTGAGACAAAAAGCCTGGCTTCAGCTGTCCAGCCTTCAGTGAGCCCAGGATCCTGGTGGCCAAGTCGCATGAAGCCTGGTATCGCTTGAAGGTGCAGGCGAGGCGCTCAGCGAGTCAAGCGACGATGACTTTGTCCTTTGTGCTTATGTCCGCTCTTTTTGCAGGCAGCCTGTGGTGGAATTCGGCGTGACTACATCGCCTTGTGCCACGGCTGGATGAGTGCTGGGCGACAGGCCAGTAGAATCGGTGGAACTTCCAGAGTTCGGCAACATGGCACGGAACGACAGGAAATTTCAGCGCGAGTTCACTGGTGGCCGGATGGCAGGCCGTCGTGCCTTCTATGAAACGCCCTGTGCGCACACTCGTTTGTATGGCCATGCAGGAGAGGGCCAAGCCATGTACGGAAAAGCGGGCGGCTTGCAAAGACGATGCTCAAGGTCACGGAGTTGCGCAGGAGCTATGTCCTTGTCCATTCCTTGTCCATTCATTGTTGGCGGAGGAGCACTGCGAGAGGTTTCAGCCTGGTCAACATCCGGATTCTGACCGGGCGTATGCACCAGACGCTGACTCGGGCTGACTCGGGCTTTGGGAGGTGCCTGTAGCCTGACTGCCTTTCCGATGCCACGCCCGAGGATCCGGCTGCACACGGCACACGTGGGCCATCCCACGGTCAGAGACGGGAAGTATACGCCCAATGCGACCTTTGAGGCCAGGCGCAAGAAGTGCAGCCTGCCTCATGGGTATTCCGGCGACTGGTGCAGATATGTAGTTGGTTAAGACTCTTTTTTCTGCATGTGTGGGTGGGTTTGAGTTGGTTTGACCTTGGCGTCGGGTGTTCTTGCCGAAGTTCGGCCGACATCAGCACGGACTAGCGTGCACGGGCTTTTGAGACTTGCGCGGACCCGGTAAATCAAAAAAACACACGCGGACTCGTATCCAGGCATTTGGAAATTGCAAAGGTTACCCAAAGACCCTAAGAAGCAATCGTTCAATGGACGCAATTGACAGAGGCAAGCGTTGATCTGAGAGGTTAGAGACAGCGCAAGCTTCGGCAGCTTTTCCAGTTGGATTGTGAACTTCTTGGATTTGAGTGCGTTGGGGTTTGAGGTTTTGCTTGGGATGATGAAGAGAAGGTTGCATTCCTGGAAGCGCTTGCGATGTCGTCGGCTGGCCGTGTTGTAGTGCACAACATCCGGGTCAGGGTGCTTCTCGCCTTGTGCCTATGTCTGGGTATGCCAATGAAGCTCGAGTTGCACTTGCAGATACAAGTCCGGCTCAGATACGACCTTCCTGATTTCCAGAGATCGCCCAAAAGTGGAAATTTGGAGCGCCGACAAAGCTTCCCCGGCTGAAGTACTACGTCACCGTGCTCAAGCCACGACTCCGACCCCTGGAGTCTTCAAACATGTTGAGGTCCATTGACAGTGCCGACAACCCTGAAGTTTGAAATTTGCCTCTGCTGGAAGATTGTTGGAAGTAGCGTACTGTTGCAATGTCATGCCTGCGAGCAGATTGATAGTGATAGCATTTCTAGCTTTTGGGGATTTGGGCTCCAAGATGGCTGGATCTGGGCACAGGGTTGGCTCCTTCGGTTTCACACCGGGGCGAGCCGAACTCGTCTCCGTGAAAACTTGTGTGTGTGTGTGTGTGCGAATGTAACCGCGTGTTGTGAGGCGAGCATGTGACTGACGCACGTAGTTGTGTTTTACATCGCTGAATATTTTGAGATAACCGTCAAAAACCCAGCACCTTCGACCCTGTAGCAGCTCATCATCCGATGCGTAATTCACAGACGAAAATTTGGTGAAGGCAGCAGATGGGATCCATATGTGGCCCGAGTCACCGGGTCAGCAGACTGTGCAGCTGATCCGGCTACTATATCTCAAGCAGTCAAGTTGGACTCATTTAAGAATCTTGCAACTAGGAATACAGGTGACATTGTTACGGTTCAGCCAGCCCAGATGCCCCAAAATGTGCAAAGATTAATGGGAAGTTGGTTTAAGAAGTAGGATCGTGTTTGCAACCGGAGCATTCGGAAACTGCACTAGTATGGAGTGAAACCTCCCTTTGCTTCGCAACTCGTGGCTGATCTCGAAATAGCAATCCAATTTGCAGACGTGAACAGGAAGATGCCAGCTGGTGCCCAGACCACTTTCTGCATCGGTCGTGCCCTAAGCTCGACCTGCGTTCTGGGAGCGGCGATAATGTTGCAAATCAGGTACTCTTTGGCTTTTGTGGACATGTCAAAGCGGCAGCACGAGGCAACTGCAAAGCAGTATGTAGATGTGACATGACACGAGAATTTGCTGTCGCATCTCGAGCTTTCATGCAGTCATGAGGTCTTCGAGCCGTTGGCCAAGAGCTTAAAGGAAGTTCTGAGGCAGCTCGGCCATGCCGGGAGGATCAATGCTGCCCAGGTCATTCCGCCCGGTACGTAAGGGACCCCTCATATGCCATTGCGCATTCGATGTAGGAAGGAATCCAGGAAGGGGCGTCACAATGACCGTTGGATTCCGTTGGACCTCTCAGAGCTTCGCCGACTTCGGCTCGAAGCTCGGAACCGGGAGACCGAGAGCGAGGGCAAGGACCTGGAGGTTGCAGTGGGCGGGCTTGCCAAACAGGGCAAAGGATCGCTTCAACGAGATAGTGTGTGGGCGTGACACCATGTCACCTGGAGCTCCAAGCCTTCTTGGCGATCACGAATCGAGCTTTTCGTATGGGCATGACGAAAATATCGTCAGTAGCAGCCGGTAGCAGACATAGATGAAGCTTCAGTAGCCGATGCACAGGTCATGAGAGTCACGCTCAGCGTGAGCAAGGATTAAAAGTTACATCTGCTCTTCGTTCTCAGCTCTTGGCGCTCGTTTCAGCAAGAGCCGAAGATGGCCGTGCTCCCAAGTGTACGGCCCAAAAAAGCAAAAGCACCACCTCGCAGAACGGTCCAAACGAGCTTGGTAATCGTAGCTGTTGAGTGAAGCGAAAGCACATTCTTGCCGTAGTCTCAGGAGCATAAACATGAGCCACTTTAAGACAGCTTCTTGAGATTGCTATGGGATTTCGAGCATGCCGGGGGTGCTGCACTTTGGGCCTCTTGGCAGCTCTCTGGTTGAAGGCTGGAGAACGCAAAGTACAAGTTCTTGGGTCGTGTGTTCTGCACCGCAGGTCAGCCACTACAGCGCGACCTTCTCCCTGAACCCTGATTCGAGCAGGCTCCACCGTCCTAGGATTGGTGGATGAGGGTCATTGGAACAGCCTGCTTTTATTATTGTTTACCTGCAGGCACATACGAAGTAGCTGCACAATGTGTAGGCATTCCACAACATACAAGGTGTGGGCTTTCGTTCAGAAGTGGGTTTCTTGTTGTTGAGTTTCCGAGTCGGTCCCAGCCATTCACTCCGCCAAACGCCATTCTTGAATGAAGAACCGCACAGAACTTTGCAGCACTTTTCGGTTCGAGCCCGAGACAGAACTTGATGTAGTAGCCATGCTTGTCAAACTCCTGTGGCATATGTACATGTGTCACTCGTTATCTTGCGTCAAATCATTTGACGTTTCTTCCGGTCTTCTTTGACTTCTTTGTCGCCAGTCTTGCGCCGACGATCCACCTGCCTTCGCCCAGTATCTGTCGGTGAAGCGCAAAGCTTCATTCCACCTTGCATTCGGAGAGTTCTTGCCGCGTGACACGCATTCCGACAACAAGGGCATGTTTCATGCTGCGCCTGGTGCCTCTCAGTCTCATCTAGGACTGGCGTGCGACTCTTTCCCTGTGAACAATGACGGTTCTCCTGCAACGTTGATTCTGATCACGTTGGCTGCGGGAAGAGGTTCAGTCTCGAGCCACCTCTCTGCCAGCATGGTAGCTATGCATTTCAAACGCTTGGCGTCGTCCGCCTCGGCCCGGCTGTACTTGAAACAGGTCACACAATTGAGGTCTTGCGTGAAGCGGAAGGAGTGCATTTGCTTCAGAATGTGTTTTTGACGTCAGCGTTTGTTTTCATGCTGAGGCTTTGAGCAACAACCCGACGCGAAAGGTGGCACATTCCCTGCATTATCCTATAGACGTGACTCTAAAAATCGTATTGCACTACAACCTCCCTTATGTTGAAGGAAGCGTTCCAAGTGCACTGTGCTTGCTTCTGAGAGAGCAAGCACAAACGTAAGATGAGGGCATGCGCAGCTGTGAATCGTCCATGGGCGCAATTGGAGACTAAGTGTCGAAAAGAACTAAATCTCCAGCCGCTGATCAGGCTTCCGCTGCCCGGAGGATGGGCTCACAGTCGTGCGGACGGGTCGGGGGTTTGGGATTTTCTGGTCGGTTGGTCTTTCTGGTGGTAGCGTGAGCTGGGTGTCCTTGGATGGTTTGGTGTCCTTAGGTGAGTGGGTGGTAGTTCGGTCGCTCCTTGAGCCATGAGCGGCCTCCGCAAGACTGTGAGTCAAGAGTGGGCACGTGATGTAGACGACGACCCCGTCAACTCGGAGACGACGCTGGAACCCGGCGATGAGGGTGCAAGGCCTTGGACCCCTTCAGTGAATGGTTCATTGAGGGTGAGGGCCTTCGAGACAACGCCGGTTAGACCCAGAGAGGAGATATAAGGTGGGGTCGAATTTCTACTTGGGCCACTTGTTGGATGCGGCGAAGTTGACCCGGAAGGACGAGGAGACCCTTAAAGACCGCGGTGGGTGGCCTCCATGATGAAGGCAAGGTCGTGAATGCTATGTTGGAGCTGGCGGACCAGCTTGAGGGGGCCCCTAGCGTGAGTATCGGACGAGGCGAGCCGGATCTTCCTGACGATGATGACTTTCTGGTGCAGAAGAACCGGCGCGGAGGTGATCATGATGATCGGCGTGAGCCTCGGAATTTCCGGCCGTTCAGGCGTGACAAGCGCTTGGCAAGCCGGGACAGGAAGTCCGGGAAGTTCAAGAAGTGGCCAAGCCGGCTCAGAAGAGCAAGGAGAAAACGCCAATGAAGTTGCACACCCTGACGGATCACGAGGGGCCCTTCCCCTCCCTGTCGAACAAGTTCTCGGACGACCTGGTGATCAACCTGATGCTCTCCCTCCAAGGCCAGCTCTTCACCTTCAAGTGGAAGATGGTCGTGTGGATGGTGAGGATCCGCGAGGCTGTGCGCAGGGAGTTTGGATCCGCGGCGCGTCGAGTCGACGTACCAGGACAATGGAAGGGGGCCCGTTATGGGATAAGCCGGGGCCGCCCAATGCAAGGCAGTGCATGCAAATCATGGAGCAGCTTCGTCAGGCTAAGCCGGATGTCGTGATGATTGGGCCTCCAGTGGGCCCCTGGTCTACATGGTGGCAGGGATCGGCCAAGGAGACATTGCAGCACAAGGTGAAGGTTTGGCCCATGTGGAGATTGATCTGGGATATTACAAGTTCCTGGAAAGATGAGGCCCCCCGACCCTGACCAGATGCGCAGGCTCCACTTTGAGTATTACCAGGGCGGGAAACATGGAGAGGATCCGGGACTATATGAACCAAACGGTCCTCGAGAGCCTCGGTATGATGTTCGAGTGGATATGTGTCAATGGGGAGCCATGGACAGGTCAGCAAGCGACCCTATAAGAAGGCGTGCCACGTGGAAGTGAATGATGCATGGTGGTGTGCACAGCTTGCTGCAGGAGGTCGATGCCAACATCACCCAGGAGAACATCAAGAAGTTGAAGGGAAAAGCAAGGATGTTGATGGCACCGAGGTGAGCAGGCTACAGCAGACTAGCCGTTGGACGAACGAATGGGCGACTAAGTTGTTGTCTTCGGCAAGAGACACGCTATGTGTGCGACAAGCACCCTCGGCGACGCTTGCTCTACATCAAGAATGTGCAGGTGAAGTTGCTTGGGAGGCGGTGCCGGTGGAGGTTGAACAGTCTCCTGAGGGGCTGCTGCGCCAACGACTGGGAGAAGCCAACGGGTCTCAGTTCGATTACATCTACTTCGAAGGTGCTAGTGGTTCGCTATCACACCAGCTCCGTAGCACCTTGGCCAAGCCCCACGTGGCAGGAGGATGCTACACCTGAATGGGGTCAAGGTCCACATTCTTAGAGCCGTGACCGATATGAGGTGCCAGGTTTGCCAATCTGTGACGGCGCCCAGGCCGTGTCCTCGAGCGGCTTATGACAAGCCACAGAGATTCAATCAAATAATCATATACAAACGTCTTCTTCATCTGGGACGCCAGCGAGACCAAGTATGCGGTGGGCCTACGATGTGTTCCATGAAATGGTTCCCCCTTCAGCAAAGTGGTGAATGGGCCTGGCCGAGAGGCATGGAGCTATCCTCCAGTTGTTGGTGATAAGGACGAGGCTACAGTGAAACAAAGGAATGTGTGGTGGTAGCCACGGCCGCCCGAAACAGGCAAGCTCGAGTGTCGGGCTTCTCTCCGGCACAGATTGTGTGCTGGGAAAGGATGTGGCCATCCCGTCGTCCTTGTTGGAGCAGTTGCAGACAGGCCACTTCAAGTATGTGCTCAACCAGGACTTGTCGTTTGATGAGGCGCGCCGCCGTAATGAGCAGATACGCCAGGCGGCCTCTCAGGCATTCATTTGGATGGATGGCCACGAGACGCTCAGGAAAGCCTTGAACGCCAAGAGCCGCAACCCGAAGAAGATGGAGATGCTCTATGAAGGGGCAACCGTGTACTTTTATGACCCTCCTCGGGGATCAAGCTTCCTGGATGGGGCCGGCGGTGGTGGCGGCCATTGAAAGGAGAGAAGGATCGATTAGAAGGGTCTGGGTTCGTTACAGCAACAAGTTGAAGGGCCTTCCGCTCGAGTTCCGCAGATTGGCGGCCCTTGAAGAGGTGGAAGCATCTAAGGTTTGCCAAGATGCCTTGAAGGAGGGGCAGGTCAGATGTGGACGAGATTGGACCCACACCGGATGAGGGACAACTGCTGGAAGACATGGAGTTCAGCGACGATGAAGAAGTCGATCCTCCTGATGAACCTCCTCCTGAAGGTCTATATGCTCGTGTATCGGCCCAGCTGACGTGCCAGCACAGATCCATCGAGACAAGCGCAACGATGCTCCTGGTGGAGGTACCTGGCCTCCGCAAAAGAAGCTGAGGTTTGTGGAGGCAAAGGAAGCGACCGAAGAACGTTTGAGCAAAATGAAGGCCGTGCTGAAGAAATACGAGCCGGGTGCTCGAGTTCAAGAAGATGGTGCTTCAGCAGCCTCAAATGCCATTCCTTCTCCTTCTCAGGGTGTGCAAGCTCGAGTTCAAGAATCTAAGAAGGTGGTGCTTCTCAGCCTCAAATGCCGTTCCTTCTCCTTCTCAGGTTGTTTCAGCTCGAGTTCAAGAAGGTGGTGCTTCAGTCTCAAATGCAGTTCCTTCTCCTTCTGGTCCATTACAAAACGCTAGCCACAGGGGTCATGGAGTGTTACACATGCAGCGTATCTGGCATCTAGAAAGAGCCACTCGGGGTCAGTAAA